TTAATATGTACTCTTATTACCCTGAAAACTATCAGGTCTGTGCAGTGTCCTATGACATCTATGTACCAAGTGTCATTGAAATGTGATGATTACTACTTGAAATATCAAAAGTTGAAAATTAATTAATTATGCAAATTAGCTAATTAATATATACTGATATTACCCTAAAAACTATCAGGTCTGTGCAGTGTCCTATGACATCTATGTACAAAATTTCATTGAAATGTGATGATTACTACCTGAAATATCAAAAGCTGAAAATTAATTAATTATGCTAATTAGGTAATTAAAATCCAATTAAAACTAATCAGGTCTCTGCATAATCCTAGAAGATCTATGTAGCAAGTCTCATTGAAATATGATGATTACTACTTGATATATCAAAAGCTGAAAATTAATTAATTATGCAAATTAGCTAATTAATATACAGTCAAACCTGTCTATAGTGGCCACCCAGGGGACTTGGAGATTTTGGCCTTTATAGACAGGTGGCCTTTCTATACAGGTTCACTAATTTATTCATGAATATTAATTAGGCATTACATCAATGTAATAAAACATCTCACAACCCTGTTTGACACACACTGTCACACTACTGTACACAGTATCCAAACACTTTTTACAAATAAATAATAATGAGTAGTATCGAAAATTGAATGTTTGAAGATTTGTACAGTAAAGTTGATGTTCAGCAGCAGTTTTAGTCTCATTTCCTACTAAAGAAATCACTCAGCTTGCTATGCTTAGCTGTTCTGATTTTTATGTTTCTTTTATTATTTATTGTGTCTTGTACACCATGGACGTACTCTATGTGTACACTTGGTAACTGTTCTAATAAATTGGAATGTCCCTGGGCTATAGCAAATTTTTTCAAGGTGAGGAGAGAGGGACAGTTAGCAGTGCTTTATTGATCCTTACAACATACACGAAAAGAACACTTATCTATAGTAGTGCTAGATCTCCTTGCAGTTATGTGACAACTTGACAGTATTATCCCCCACCACAATTCCCTTTAACATTTTGATTTTTTTTTTCAAAATCTCCTTGACCTACCTCACTTACGAAATGGTTGACCCCTTTAATCAAAACACTACCTTGCGCAATCGAAATCTGAGCGACTTCCATGTTATTGTACCGCTGCAACAATAGAAACGAGTGAAGTATGCCTGGCGACTTTGGCCGGCGAACTGAAGTCAGTTGAACATCATTGTTAAAATCATCTATTGTTACATGTATCATTGCAGTAGTGACTAAAACAAAAATTGTTGAACGAATTTAGTTGGACAAGGAGACGATACTGCACACACATTCCCTCGCAGCGATCGATACACAGTAACGGAAGTGACACTACTTTTTGACCCGAGTTATCATAACCCCGGAAGAACAAGAACGCACATGCGCGAGGCTAATTAGCATAATTTATTTGGATGTATAAACAGGCATGGCCATTGCGTTAATTTTTTTTCTTTTTGCTATCAATTTCAGTTACATGCGTATTTATCGATATTTATAGGAGTTCAAAGTGAATAAATATCGATACTAAATAACAAGTGAGTTGCTATGTTTGTTTTGTTGGTAATCAATTTGATCGGGGATTTATCGTCGGCAATCCGATTCACCTCGGCGATTCACAACAAGTTTGCGGGTTGACGACATTGTGGCCGCTTGATTCATTGTACAAAGCCGATGTACATAGCACTTCTGTTCCCATGGTATACATATTTCAACAAAATATTAATGACATGTTTTTTATCAGGACACTTCCAAATTCTTAATTATGTTTTTGGAGTTCCCAGGCCATCGGTACGGTGTGCTGGCCGTGATAAACTGAAATATAAACTAGGAAAAAAACATAATTGCCAAAGCCATCGGTTGAATGAAAGGTGTTAAAACGTGCT